AACAAGATTTATGAACCTATAGCTTTTAATGGTGGCTGTTTAAGTGTTTAGTATCTGCAATACGTACACATGCTTATATGGACGAATGTTCGAATATAAGTATATGTAAATTTAGCTGTTGTGTTTCGCGTTCGTCTTTTTGGAATTTTTATGGATTTCTCGAGCACGCCAAAATATTTCTTTGTTCACATCACAAAAAATTGCATGAACTTTTAAATACGTGTGTGTTTTGAATGCAATACGAAATGCAATAAATATGGCTAACAAATGTCCGTCAAAGTAACAAAGTTACGTACATTTACGGTGCACATAAACAAAGCTGATTTCAATTTCAAAGTACACGAGTACTTTGGATTTTCCCCAAAAAAAGAGGAAGCACATTCAAATTATGGGTTTAACTTTTTGTACAACTTTTTACTATACTAATTAAATTAATTATGAAGTTAGGTTCTCATGGCATTCTAGTCATATGTCCCTGATGTTGTGCAATATTTGATTAGCTATGCATTTAATAAACTAAAAGTATTTTAAACTTTTGGTGTGGACCTTTGGCTTTCTGCTGCTCTTATTCAAAATTTACAGGAAGGTGACAAAAGCTCCTGTAAATTCAATTTGTTCCCCTCGCATCCAAGTGACAAAATTTAAGCCGAGACTTTAACAAGTTAACAAGTTGTCTTTGTCGACGTCTTCTTATCTTTCTCATGCGCAACTTGAACCAATTTCGTGTGAAGAGCAATTGAGACAATGGAAAATAAGAGGAAAAACAGCAATACGACACAAAATGCATAAATGTTATTAAATAGGAAAAAATAATAGCCTCAATGGAGTGGCAAGAGGGGGAAAAAGAGGGGGAAAAAGAGAGGGAAGAGAGAGGGAAGAGAGAGGGGAAGAAAGAGGGGAAGAGAGAGGGGAAGAGAGAGGGGAAGAGAGAGGGGAAGAGAGAGCGGAAGAGAAAGGGGAAGAGAGAGGGGAAGAGAGAGGGGAAGAGAGAGGGGAAGAGAGAGGGGAAGAGAGAGGGGAAGAGAGAGGGGAAGAGAGAGGGGAAGAGAGAGGGGGAAGAGAGAGGGGAAGAGAGAGGCCAATATTGATAAACGTTATGTGGCACTGTTGCCAGATTCAGATTCAGGTGAGACCGCTGATTGCCTCACCTGGCGAATCGGTGTCACCCGAAAGCGAGAAAAGCGGGAAAAGCGGAAAAGCATTGCAGCAAATCGAACAACTAAAGTAATTGAAAAGAAATAAAAATGTACCACAACAAAGCAAAATAAATACAGATGTCAAATACAACATTTCAAATCCCAAATTTGTTTTTCTTGGCTGAACATATATATAAAAACATAATAGTAAATATGTATATAAAAAATGTTTATTAATTCATTTTCCATAATTAAAAACTAACATTTATAAATAGCAAATCTGCAAGTGTATTTCTCTAAATGAGCCAATTGACAATGTTGCAAATGGCAACTTGTTGCTGCGGCAGCATGTTGCAATGCCACAAGCGGTGTCACGCGCGGGATTTGCGAGCAAACAAAGAGATTGGCAATACTGAGAGCCAAGTTGAGCGTGGATTACCTGCACTGGCCAGAAATCCCGGCTCATAACTCAAACGGTAAACAGTAAATCAAACGGAAAAGCGTAAAAAGAGCATGGCACAATAAAAAATAATAAATAGTGTAGAAAGCGCAATGAAAGTAGCAGCAGAAAAAACACACTAACCGAAAAATTAATAAATTGCAAACATACTTTCAAATCTTTCTGAGATACAAGATCAAATTTAGAGTCACAAATATTTAAAGAAGACTGCTGAAAATCTTTAAATATTCAATCATTACAATATAATACAAATTGTGTTGGCAATTATTTCTATGCACCTCTGTGTGGATAAAGCCAGGGTAAACCCATTCCCTTTGTTAGCGCTGAATTTTCAATTTGTTGCCAACCGAAAAGCTTCCAACTCGCAAACTCAGTCGCGCATACAAATGCAAACTTGACCTTTGGGCTGCGCCGGCGTATAAATTAAAATTGGCCAAAACTTTCCCATTAAAAACACGCAGTGTACATTGCCCGACCAACAAAAAAAAAAAAAACAGAAAAAATACAGAAAAAAAGAAAACCTTCAAAAAGGTAAAGACAATGACCAAAACAAGGATGAGGGAGAGAGAGCTTAAAATCACTGCAAATTTGGGAAAAGAAACATAATGATTGTCATGCCGATCGTCAAGCGATCGTCAACTCCAACTCCACTCAACTGAAAAGGTTTCGTTTTGTTTTTTTAAATTTGGCATTCGTTAAAAAGACTGCGGAATAAATTCAAGTTGAAATGAAGCCAAAATCGAGTTTGAAACAGGGACAGTCTGCGTTTCAAGGGGAACTCTTTCCTAATGGAGCATGTTTCTGCTGTAACTCCTTTGGAAATATACAGTGTACACATGCTAAAATATAATGCTTAGTTCCAATATTCAAAAGCTAAGGAACAATGTTGACCAGTTGACCCCCTTTGAGTTAACACCCCCGTGAAAGGCAATCGAAGTAGGCTAAACCAGTTCGCTGCGGCTAACGAAAAAATGTGTGTAATAAAAGATATATAATATGTAAATGAATTAAAATTCATTAATGTCAAACAACTTTGGCAACGACAAATGACGCCCAGCAGTCGCAACAAGAAAACGATGAACAATAATCACCAGAATCCGAATGAGAAGCGGAATTAGTCGAATTAGTCACAGTCAACAGGCTGCGGGCGAAATGATTAAAATTCCTCAGGTAAATAATATCTAATCGTCCCATATCCATTATTCACTCCGCTTTAAAAAAGATATTCGGTATAGTGTAGAGAGTTTATTTGAAAGCGGCTTTAAATTGGGCTTTAAAACGGGGTCAGGGTTACTGTTTGACTTTTAAATGTGTTACTTGTGTCAATGTAAAGCTGACTTTAAGCCTGGCTTTCTTCGAAACTCAACGCGTTTTTTAATCAAGTAACAACAGATACTTACAAAATACTTGCTTTAAAACCTCAATTATTTTGAATCAAATATTGTTATACCTCTATGAATAACAACCTGTGTTGAAATAAAACCCACTGATCTGTAAAAAAAAAGTGTAGCAAAATTAAAAGTGCAACTTCAAGCACTAATAACCTCATTATTCGATGTTCACTCATTTAGTTGTTGCTTTTGATCGAAAAGCGGTTGACTTACCAATAAACCAGTTTCCACGTTTGGTATCAAAATGATTTTGGACCCGTCCATTAGGTTGTGATCTCTGAGCGTTCCATCCTGTAGTTCCCTGCGAGAAAGAGAAGCAAAGCCATGTCCGTTAGAAGAGTGCAAACGATATTAAATCGATATGTCAATAGATCAGGGGTGCTCAAGATCGTCTTATGGCAGTGCGTTTACTAACACATCCACAAGAAAACGTGTACATATGTAGCGGCGCGTTTGTGTTGGGGTGCAGCTGTGCACTGAGAGAAAAATGCCTATAGAGAATGTATTTGGTGTTTACCTCCAGAACTACGAAGCATATTAAGCATTGTACTTCGCATTTAAAGTTTATGCTAAAAAAAACTGCTCTCTAATTCATCACTCATTTTGATCCGCCAAAAAATTTAACATAACACTTACGATGGTCGACCCCGAAATAAATCAAAAGCCAACGCAGACAGAAAGATAAGTCTCAGTGCATGTGCCCGAGGAAAAAACAAAAACAAAATACATTGCGATCAGATAAGCGTGACGACGGACAGAGATGTAATGAAGAAACAAGCAAAATTGTTTTTGTTTCGCATGCAAATCGAAGCCCATATGCACGGTGCTTATGGGCGCACTACCCATAAGCACAGAGCTCTACAAAAACAAAAGTGCACTCGGTGCATAGGCGTTGAGCACCCCTGCAATAGATGGTAATTTGGTATGGGAAAAAAGGGATCAGTGTGGCCAAAATAGCTTAACAGACAAATGAGAAGACCGCTAAAAACGATACGTCAATTCAGAAAAACACAAAAGAGAAGTTCAGAAAAAGAAGTAGAAAAACAAAGTCGCGCTGAAAAACAACAACAAATTTCGAGTCGATTCAACCACAACTAAACAACAACAACAATCAACAAAAGGCGTGCGCCGAGCGTTTTTCGATTATAGTTGTTGTTCTTAGCTTCTCTCGATTCTCGATTTTCGATTCTCGATTTAACAGTACAGTCACACACAAGCATACAAACAATCGGGATTATATCGGCATTTTAATGGATAATATAATTAATTTGGCATTTGGTTTGCTTTGCTTTGCATCGGCTCCCTTTCTTTCCTTTGACGAAAGCGTTTCGTGAGCGTTTTTACCGAGTCAAAAAAAAAAGTGCAACTGCCAAACAAAAAAAAAGGAATGGGGATTTTTTTAAGGCGTTGATTTGCTGCTGTCAGCACTCTTCGATGCGTAATTACAATTCGGCGACATTCGAGACAACAAAAACCAATTATGGGGATTTTGTCAATTCAACAATAATTCGATATGTACGTCCGATGATTTTAAAGTTAAGATTTGCATACAGAGAACAAGAATCCATATGTAAACCTGGAAACCAAATTATTTTTCGTTGTTTTTAGAATCTTTGGAGGAGACTAAAATCGAAAAAATCCAAATTTCCAACAGTTTGTTGATAAGAAACAACGACAGCAACAGAAAATACGCAAAGCAACAAATAAAATAAAGAAAGCACGAATACAAGTACAGTCAGTCACAAAAGTATTCGTTGCGAGGCACCCTACAACTAAATACATGTTTTTTTTCATGAATATGTAACAAATTAATATTTTTATTTATTGTTTGGGGTAACGCACTTATTAAAGATACAGAAAATAACAACATTTTTTTAGAAAATTAGCTTCATTGCTTTTTTTTTCCTTAAGAAACTAATAGAACTACAAAATATCATCTCACAAAAGTATTCGTTTTTTTGTTTCGGCATTAAATATTTATGTTTTTTTTAAAATTTAGTATTTTGTGTGCAAGCCGTTGTTTTCTTTAATAGCTTCTAAGCGCCTCGGCATTGACTCCACTAGTTTCCGGCACCTCACTTCGGGTATATTTGACCATTCCTTCAGCAATATCTCTTTTAGCTCATTCTTGGAGGAAATCTTATGTTCCTGGACTTTTAGCTTAAGATGGGCCCAAATATTTTCAATAGGGTTGACGTCTGGGCTTTGTGGAGGAGTGTGGATCTGCTTGGTATTAAACAACAGCCATTTCTTGACTTTCCAAGCCGTATGTTTGGGATCATTGTCCTGTTGGAAAATGAACTTGCCGCCTTCTAGACCCATTTTGGTGGCACTGGAGTGTAAATTTTCCTTTAATATTTTGAGATATCCTTCAGCATTCATAATTCCGTCTATGAAAGCCAACTCCCCAACTCCTTGAGCGGACATGCAGCCCCAAACTAATACGGAACCGCCGCCATGCTTCACCGTTGGTTTAACATTTTTCAGTTTAAGCTCTTCACAGGGCTTTCGCCACACTTTTCCTTTTCCATCAGATCCGAATATATTGAATTTGGTTTCAACGCTAAATATTACTTGTCCCAGTACTCCAAATTCCGGTCTAAATACGTTTTAGCAAACGAAAGCCGCTTTGATATATTTATGGCTGAGAGCAAGGGTTTCTTTCTAGGGCATCTCCCATGCAGATCTTGGCTCCTGAGCACTCTTCGGACGGTTTCAGTGGATACGTTAGTTCCCAGGGATGTGGTTAGGACACTATTAATTTTCGGAGCCGAAAGGTGCGAATTTTTCTTGTTTTCTTCGAGGATTTTCCGCTCTTCTCTGCAGGTTAATGCTTTCGGACGGCCGCAACGGGGAAGATTTTCCAGGGAATTCCTGGATTTCAGTCGAGAAATGAGACTCCTTATGGTTAAAGGACATCTATCGAACATCCCACAAATATATTTAATGGATCGACCTTCATTATCTAGGTGCAAAATAATTTTTTTTTGTGAAAAGTTTAACTCTGTTCCCTTCGGCATTTTGCTAGAGATTTACACCAAGAATGACGCCAAAAAATGGTGTTTTTCCCCGAATTCAGTCTTTAAAATAGAAACGCAACCAGAATGACAAAAAAAAATAATTCGCTAACTTAAAAAATACTAAAATATAAAAAATTCGTAAGGCAACGAATACTTTTGTGACCCTGCAAAACGGTTTATATTTGTATTTTTGTCCATATCTTTTTATGGAAAGCGTTTTCTGTTTGGTTTTTTTTTTCCACATACTTCAAAAAATATATATCTTTGGAAACGTAAACCATTTTTTACCATTTTAAAACTGTTTCTTATTTAAAATTTGCATTTTTCTCTTAACCCTCTTTGCAACGAATACTTTTGTGACTGACTGTATATATAGTAAAACATACCCTTTTGCTAAATGAGAATTTAAAGGCGCACAGGCAAGAAATTAAAAGTTCAAGCACTTTACAGGTTTGCCTGTCCGCTGCTTTTCGCTGCTTTTGGATCAAGCATTGGGGCCAGTTGATTTCCATTCCATTTTTCGCTGCTTGCTGTTTTCTGTTCGCTTTATTTCGTTTAATTTTTGCTTTACCTTTTCCCCTGTAATTGCTGCCTGTTTTGTTGTTGTTTTTGTTCTCGGTGGAGCGAAACAAAGTCAAAAGTTAAACGCTGTTGACACTTTTCAGTTGCTGAATTTCAATTGTTCTCTTCGCTGCGTTATTGTAATTTTTGGGCATTGCATTTCGCAGGTGTTAAGTGAGACAAAAACAGCAGTAGCAGCGCAGCCATAACAAAACGCCAGGCAGACAGACGTGTAAACAAGCGACGAGCACACAGCTGCCGCTTATTTGTTTAATTCCGTTGACTTGGCTAATACAAATATGAGAAACCGAAATCGAGAAGACCCCTCCTCCCTCCCCTCGCATGAGAATTAACTGCCGCCAGAATTGTATTCCCATTATTTGCATTCGAATGTGCAACGCACACCGAATTACCAAAGGGTTCTCGGGGAATTTGCAGATTATAAACAGTTGCGTCTGCGTTTCAAGAATATTACGCAATTGCGGCATTTTGCGTTGATTGCCCAGGGTGAATGTGCGTATCAGAATGGAATTATAAACCCACCAAAAGATATCTCTAAAAATGTCTTATTTTTGGAAGAGCTAATGCTTAATTGAAGCACATATTTCTCACTTTAAAAGTATCCATCCATTATAAAAATGTCTTCTTACTTTTTAGATTATCAAAACATTCTCACTTTAAAGTGAGAAAGAATTCATTTCCCTTTAACATTTATTATAATATTATATTGTATCCAACATTTAGGTTTAAGTTATTGATTTTCTGGTGTTTCTATTGGAATTTTTATCTTGGATTCAGCGCAAAGTACAGTTGCCACAACAGCTTTTGTTTTGGCCCTGAATCAAGTATGGCATACACCAAAGTATTGCCCAGCAGGTATAATTTCACTTGTGTGTTACACACTCGGTTACAATCAATGAATGTCGGGTCTAAATATAGACGGGGATGCATTTGTTTTGGCTAGCAACGGTAGGCGGTAAAGCCACAACAGAATCGAATTAAACGCTGATCCAAAACATAAATCGAACGCCGAATAGTGGGAGGTTTTTTTTATTGGGCGGGGAAAATACCTTGCCGACAGGTGGGCCAAACAAAGGCCAAGAAAGACGGAGGAAGAAGGGGGAGGTGGGGGATCCGTTCGTTGAGCGCAGCAGCATAAAATTACTTAACTTTATGCTCCAGCAGAGACAGAGGGAGAGAGAGCCATCTCGCCGAAAGAGAGTCGGCCAAGCCCACAAAGAAAATGCCAGCAGCAGAGCATAAAACAAACGCTACCACAGTTGCGGCCAAAATAAACATATTTTAGTTGTTTTTTGCTGAGGAGAAATTACATGATAAATTCATTTCCATTGTATTGTGCTTATGCACATAAATCAAAAATTGCAAGTAATCTAATTACTCCTAATACGGTATCAATGTGCCCATGTTTTATAAAAGAAATACAAAAATAACACAAACATACCAAAAAACATCTAAGTAAAACTTGTTACGGATTATAAAAATGTAAGATTTGTCAATTTGAACTTGTGCCATACAGTATTCTTCCGAAAAAAATGTTAAGTTTATATCAGTTTATTAATAGTTAAAAATCTTATTGTAAAAGTTATCCGTATTTCTTGCATCAATTGTTTTTGTTGAACACAACTGCATGTTGCGGCGAACGAAAGAAAGAAAGAAAGAGAGGGCGAGAGAGCTGCGGCGAATTCACTGTCGATGCGGT